GCTGTGCATCATGAGCTGGTTGAAGGTCTTCGTGTAAGTCTGAAGTCCAGGCTGCACATTTGGGTTTAGGGCTTAGGGTTTAGGGTTTGGGGTCTGGGGTTTAGGGTCTAAAGGCCGACAGGATCCATGTACCCATGCAGTCGATACTTTAGACCCCAAGAGGACTACCTCGTGGCCACTGTTGGGAACCATAGGGTTTAGGGTTTAGGGCTTAGAGGACCGGAGCTCGCAAGGCTTGCGCACACTGAATTCTGGGGCTCTTCCCTTTGGTCCTGCTTCAGCAGCGCAAGGGCCGTCGTTGCAAAGCCGTAAATACTCTCCTTGGTAGCCCAGGAACCATATTCTAATAAAAATGTACACTTTTTGGGGCTGGGGGTTAGGGTTTAGGGTTTAGGGTTTAGGGTTTAGGGTTTAGGGTTTAGGGTTTAGGGTTTAGGGTTTAGGGTTTAGGGTTTAGGGTTTAGGGTTTAGGGTGGTTACTTTACAAGGGAACCTTGAACTCCGAAAAAGGGTCAAGGGCATCACTGGGCTACCGAGTCGCACGTGTTTGCAGGTTGTTGGGCAAGGTCCTCTTGGACTTGGCCCAGGCAACCAAGGCCTTCGATCAAGGGATTCAGACTAGGGTTTAGGGTTTAGGGTTTAGGGTTTAGGGCTTAGGGTTTAGGGTTTATGGCTTAGGGCTTAGGGTTTAGGGCGTAGGGTTTAGGGTTGAGGGTTTGGGGACTCGTACTCCCTAAGGTTGCACCCCTAAAGGCTCCCCTTAATATACTCCCAATATGGCCCTCATATTCCCTTAGGGGATCTTTAAAGAGAGTGCCCAAACCCAAGGGTATACAACCTTAGGGGTCCGAGGTAGAGTCCTATGATTCAAGCCCTTGGGAGTAGGAACTCAAGGCTTCGTATTCCTAGCTGACTGGCCATGTCGTCATGATCGTAACGCAAGAACAGGAGAAGTAGGAGCAAGTAGCACAGGACAAGCATTAGACCGCAACAAAAAAAAACAACAAACACAAAAAAGTACAGCAGTCGCAGCAGCAACAGTAGTGATCAGTCCACTGTAGCATCCCATAGCAGCGGAAGCGGCAACAACCCCAAAACCCTAAACCTTCGGATGTTCCCCTTATACTAAGAGTCCTTAACACCCCTATTATCGTCCCTCTTAAGGAGCTGCTAGTATAAGGGAGGAACATCCCGACCCTAACCCTAAACCCTAAACCCTAAACCCTAAACCCTAAACCCTAAACCCTAAACCCTAAACCCTAAACCCTAAACCCTAAACCCGGACGGGCCTCATGCAGTTGCTGCCTTAGACTACAGCCGAGAGGGCCGGGGGGGCATGCGCCAAGAGGTTCGTCTTGCTCCACATGTCGGGTTTAGGGTTTCGGGTTTAGGGTGTAGGATTTAGGGTTTAGGGTGCCCGAAATTATGGCCCCTTTGTTGGGTATCCTAAATAATAGGGGGCCGCCATATAAAGAACCCAAAAAAGAAAGTAACACGATAGAACGGTGTTTAAGACTCCCCGTGCACTTTCAAGCAAGGTCAGGGCTCAGTTGTCGGGTATTCACCTCTGTCCAAGGTAGGGGTTTAGGGCCGGTTTAGGGTTTAGGGTTTAAGGCGACAAGTAGGGGCAAGGGCCCTCAATTGGGTTATAGGTCTTACTACCCTAAACCCTAAACCCTAAACCCTAAACCCTAAACCCTAGACCCTAAACCCTAAGACACCAGGCTTTGAACATCATCGAACCTGAGAGCTCACATCTCAACCTCCAGACGCCTGTGCAACAGGCTACAAGAAGGGGGCTCCCTTAGGGTTTAAGGTTTAGGGTTTAGGGTGGGTTTAGGGTTTAGGGTTTAGGGTTTAGGGTTTAGGGTTTAGGGTTTAGGGTTTAGGGTTTAGGGTTTAGGGTTTAGGGTTTAGGGTTTAGGATTTCGGGTAGTAAGACTTATAGCCCAACTAAGCGTCCTTCTCCCCCATTTGCAACTAGGGGGCCCCTACAGGTGGCTAGACCCGAAGCCTGCTCATACGCAACGAGAAACGCTCTCACCTTCAACCTAGGCATGATAGCCCCCCAGGGTTTAGGGTTTAGGGTTTAGGGTTTAGGGTTTAGGGTTTAGGGTTCAGGGTCCCCCCCACCCCCTCCTCTCCCCCAAACCCGACCCGCGCCAAACTCACCAACAAGCTTGGGTGGGTTCCCTCCCAAACCCACAGCCCCCAACGAAAGCCTGAACCCTAAACCCTAAAACCCTAAACCCTCAACCCTAAACCCTAAACCCTAAACCCTAAACCCTGAACCCTAAACCCTAAACCCTAAACCAACGTTCAACTCCGCCGCGCACTCGGCGCAGGAGCCGGCGGCCAGGCAGGCGAAGTTGGCGCTGGTGCCAGCTTCTGCAGTGTAGGCGGCGAGGAGAGGCAGGCGCCCATGGCGTCGGTGGAGAGGGTAAGTGGCTTTAGGGTTTAGCAGGTTTTTTTGGTGTAAACCTCAAGTCCTCAAACTCATGGCGACGTATTCACCCCTGATCTCGAGGCATTTAGGGATGAAGGAAGTGTGAGTACCTTGAGGGTCCCTAAACCCTAAAGCCTAAAGCCTAAACCCTTAAAGGGTTTACAAGCCTCACAGCCAGCTTTGGGCTTTTGAGCAAGCGGTTGGCCAAGCCTTCAAAACCCTGCACCCCTGTAGGGTTTAGGGTTTAGGGTTTAGGGTTTATGGGTTATGGGTTTAGGGTTTGGGGTTTGGGGTTTGGGGTTTAGGGTTCAGGGCTTAGGGTTTAGGGCGAAGGTTCCGCAAGCGTGCTTGAGGTTCCAAGGCACCTCCTGTAGGATCCTATAAAGGCCTAGGGTTTCGGGCTGAAATATTGCAAGAACTGAGAGAGAGGGCCTCTCGCGGGGGGAAACAACTTAGCCAAAGAAGCCGGACTCTACTGCTTTGTTATACTCTATAGGTTTCTATGATCAAGCACCCCTTGTTCAAGAAAAATAGGGTTCTTACGGCAGCCCAGGGTTGGTTTAGGGTTTAGGGTCTAGAGCTTAAGGTCTAGGGTTCATCCACATCAGCAACAACCCAAACCTGCAAGCCTGAAAGCCTTAAACCCTCAGGCATTGCACCCTACAGTACGCCCCAAAAAACCGTCGAAGGCTAAACCCCACACCCTTACCAAAACCCTGCATGTCGGGGCCCCCTAGTTATAAGTAGGCCGATACGGGCCCTTACTTGGGTTACAAGTTCTACTCTTCAGGTCATAAACCCCTTAAGGAAAGATAGTGTAGTAAGGGAGGCCCCTACTTCTAAAGCTCTAAGCCTTTAAAGCCCCGAAAGCCCTAAATACCCGACAGCAGCGAACCCAACCCGTCCCTACCCTAAAGCCCAAACCCTTCTGAAAACTCCAAAGCGCCTTTAAGCCTGAAACCTCCGTGCGGTTTAGGGTTTAGGGTTTAGGGTTTAGGGTTTAGGGTTTAGGGTTTAGTTAAGGCCTAGGGCTTAGGGCTTAGGGTCTAATCCCTAGAACAACTCTTCCCTTCAAGTGTGCTTGGTATTTGTGGCCTTCTTTTTAGGGTTCAGGGGGCTTTGGGGGCTTGGGGGTTATAGGGCTTGGGTGGTCTTAGGGCTTATAAAGGTTCAGGGTTTACCCTAAAACCTAAACCCTAAACCCTAAACCCCAAACCCCCAAAAAAGCTGACAAATCAAACGAAGGCGCCCGAGGAACCAGTCCACCCTCACTTCGTCCAGGCCCCAGCGCCTGGGGGATTTGGGGTTTAGGATTAGGGTTTAGGGTTAGGGTTTGGGGTTTGGGGTTTAAGGTTTAGGGGGTTTAGGGTGTTAGGGTTTATATGGTTTATAGGGTTTATAGGGTTTGTAGGGTTTAACGTTTAAAGGGTTGTAGGTTCAGGTTTCGCATCGAGGGCTCAGGGCTTAGGGTTTAGGGGTTCTACCTTGGAGAAGCCACACAGCTGTACCAGTGGGTGCAGGGGCATACCCTAAACCCTAAACCCTAAACCCTGAACCCTAAACCCTAAACCCTAAACCCCGTAGATTAGGATGGCCCATAAAAAACCCTCGTACACCGAATAAGGGAAAATATGACAGGTCCCAAGGGCCTACCTAGTAGAGAATCCCTTAAGGGGTCGAGGGGTTGGGGCTTGGGGTTTAGGCTTTATGGTTTCGGGTGTGTGACTGAGTATTGAAGGTTTGGGAGTACTGGGCCCTAAGGTTTGGGGGGGGGGGGGGGGGGGGGCCGAGTGAAAGTTTCTGCGTCGTCCTTTGGGTGCATGGATCTTCGCTTAGGCTGGCTTGGTGGTTAAGACCGGGGTCTTAGGGATGTGCTCATCGGGGGAGCTTTGGGCGGAAACAGTCAAGGGCTAAGGGCTTAGAACTTAGGATGAAACCCTAAACCCTAAACCCTAAATGCCCTAAACCCTAAACCCTCGGGGCTCCGAATCCCTACAGAGAGCAGAACTGTGGAGTTCAAACAGGGCTTCAAGCTACGGGTTGCGTTGTTCTGCAGGGTTGGACAACCCTACTTGGAGGTTCATGGTACTTATTAACCAATTATGACTGTACTTCTAACCCACTTATGAGCCCCTTAAGTGCGCTAATATGGTTGTAAGTACAGATATAAGTACAGATATAATTGGTTATTAATCGGTACCATGAACCTCCAAGTACCCCTTCAGACTCTGAACTGTCGTTCTTTGCGCTGGTACCGACTTCTCGTGGTGATTTGAATATGGGGGCTTACGATATTAGGGGCTTGTTACAGGAGATCCTACTCTTTGGGGGTCTGTACTGTAAACCCCCCATATTAAATTAGAAGAACAAATCCACTCCAAGCCCGCGCCCATGAACCCCACGACGCTTGTTTCCAGTGGTGTCCTCTATGCTCCAAACGCACGAAACGATGCGAGGCATCTCTGCGCATGCCTTGTCTAGCCAACGAATCATGGGGGCTCAGGGCCTGAGACTTCTTGTGGTGGGCTTGGATATAGTATATGAATCAGAGGCGCTATATCGTGCGAGGCACAAAGCTCCCTAACCCTGAACCCTCAACCCCAAACCTTGTATCTGAATTCTCACCGGCATCATTCCTATTCAGTGCCGCATCCAGCGCTTCAGAGATGACCTGCAGCTCTGAAGCGCAGATGGGCCCGTTGTGGTTGTCATAGTTCAGCTCCTCGTCCCACATCTGAATCTTCTGAAAGACCAACTGGTAGCCTTTCACACTGCAAATTTCCTTCTCAACCTTCTTGTACCCTTTGACGACGTAGCGAACTGTGTCTTCACCTCGCTCTTTGCCGAAACCCAAGGCTCTGAACCCTAATTCAACCCTATACTGCCCTAAAGCCTCAAACGCCAACTCAGCAAAGCTCAGGAGAAAATGATGTCAAGTCGCCCACGCTCAACGATATGTCACGGCCCAAGTTCTCTTCCATCTTCGACGGCATTCGGGCGATGGCTCCTGCAATCTGCTCTCGCAGGTGTTCGCAGACTTTCTCGGATGTAACTGCGAGGCGAAACGCGATTGCTGGACGTCGGTGCTGTGCGAAGCAGGTGTCACTGTACAGCAGCCTGCCCGTGCCTATACTGAACTTGGAACCCGAGCAAAAAGTCGATTTGTTTAGCTGTTTCTTGGGAATGAAAGTACCAAACAAATAAACAATACTCCCCAGAATGCCTATAAGGTGCGGCCCTGTATGCTCAAGCCCGGTGTCGAAGTAGTGTCAGCATCGACTGACCCGAAGTGCGACACCACCAGCGCATCAGGCCAAACACCAGAGTGTGGAGTGCCCTGCGTGCATGGCTCCATAAACCTAAAACTCTGGCGCCCTACCAGCTCTTCATTAGCAATTCGCCCACGAAAATTGTGGTTCCATGTTGTGGTAACATCATTTGATGGCTTGTACCAAAAAACGAAATCCTGGCAGCCACAAAAAGGAGCTACGCTTCTTCGGGTGTCTACGTAACGAAGTTGTATTGAGAGCCAGAACCCAGCCTGACTGCGCTCGAGGGTCAACCTGATCACCATGCCCGATTCCACTTCGCACGGAGACGTGGCACCGAGGTCTCTGAGGCAAGGCATCCTTGGTAGCCCAGCAACCATATTTAAAACAAAGGGCACCCTTTTTTGGGTTGGTTGTTTTATAAAGGGAACCCATAACCAAAAAACAAGGGTAAAGCGTACCACTGGGCTACCAAGCATCACGAACCTGTCTGAAAATTCGGTCTTCAAGTACTTGGAAAACTGGGCTTGGAACTTTAGCTCCGCCAGCTCTCCGCGGAGCTCTTCCGTCGTCCACTGTTTGCCCCGATGCTCCCGCAGGCCGGCAAAAAACAGAGCTCCGAGCTGCAAGACTGCTCGATTCTGCGTGCCGGCTTGGCCCACCTTCTGCGCGAGGTTTCCAATTTTGGGAGGTTCCCAGGCTTGGGTTTACGGGTCAGGGTAAGGATCCCTTAACCCTAAACCCTAAACTCCAAACCCCAAACCCTAAACCCCAAACCCTAAACCCTAAACCCCAAACCCCAAACTCTAAATCTTAAACCCTTAACCCTAAACCCGAGTCGTGGGTTGGATCCCCAAAACCCACCTCGAGCTTGGAGAGATGTTTGGTCAACTCCTCCAACTGCGGATCGCGGCCAAAACTGCTTGCGCTGGGCCTAACAATTAGGGTTTAGGGTTTAGGGAACAGGTTCTTTGTTTTAGGGTTTAGGAATTAGGGTTTAGGGTTTAGGGAACAGGTTCTTTGTTTTAGGGCTGGGGGTTTAGGGGTTGAGGGTTTAGGGAAAATTTAAACTTGGGCCTTAAAGGGGGTTCCGCATATACATTAGCTTTAGCTGAGGCTTTGTCGGAAAGTCACAGGGCAGCAGTTGCTAGAAGTCCCACCCTAAACCCTAAACCTAAACCCTAAACCCTAAACCCTAAACCCCTAATCCCAACTTTGGTTTGCAATCGCGCAATTCCGGGCGGGTTGATCTGCTAGAAGGGCTTGTAATACTTGCAGGGCATACTTGGTAGCCCAGCAACCATCTTGTAATAAGGGCACCTTTGACTTTATAAGGGAACCCAGAACCAAAAAAGGGTACTGGGCTACCAAGCATACTTAAGGCTTCTGCTTTTGGACCCCCTCTCCTAGTCGCAGGGCACAGTGCGAAGTAGTCGCGCGGTTTGAAGGCTCTAAGGTCCACGAAGGTCTCAGTCACCGATTGCATCTGCAACTTTGCGTCTGAGCAGGCATCTATGAGGATGAACCTCGGATGATCGTTACCTCAGCTTGCTGGCGTGAATACAGGGTTTAGGGTTTAGGGTTTAGAGAAGATGTAGTGCTTCTTTCAGGGTTGACGGTTAACAGCAACAACAACACCCGATGCCCCACTTGAGCAAGGCGTCCCCGGTGGCAGCCGACGCGGTAGCGGTTCACCAGTCGCTGCACCTCCTGGATCACAGCGTCCACAGCTTCCTCACTCGCGCCCTCCACAACGACGACCGACTTCTCCGATATTCGTCCAGCAAACGGAGCGTCACGGTTTTCAGCCTCGGTAGCCCAGTAACCATATTCTAAACCGAGAATACCCTTGTTGGGGTTGGTTATCTTACAAGGGAACCTTGAACCCTAAACCCTAAACCCTAAACCCTAAACCCTAAACCCTAAACCCTAAACCCTAAACCCTAAACCCTAAACCCTAAACCCTAAACCCTAACCAACAAATAGGCCAAAGGGTGCCACACTGGGCTACGAAGTAGCATTCACCCCTAACCCTAAACCCTAAACCCTAAACCCTAAACCCTAAACCCTGAACCCTAAACCCTGAACCCTGAACCCTGAACCCTGAACCCTGAACCCTGAACCCTGAACCCTGAACCCTGAACCCTAAGCCAAGTAGCATTCACTTTGACAAGAGCGATCCCTGGGAAATGCTTCAGCTTCTGGATCGTCTCTCCACCGCGCCCAATGACCAGGCCGATGCTGCCAGGGTCCTCAGATCAAAAAGGGAGCCCTTTCTTGGGTTTAGGGTTTAGGGTTTAGGGTTTAGGTTTAGGGTTTAGGGTTTAGGGTTTAGGGTTTAGGGTTTAGGGTTTAGGGTTTAGGGTTTAGGGTTTAGGGTTTAGGGTTTAGGGCGAGCGAAGTCTAGACGAAAGCATAGAAAAATGGGGCACCACTGAAGTTTCAGGGTCGACCGCCACCTCCTTGCGCACGACACGTGGCTGAGCGCCCTTGCCAAGCCCCGGCGTCCTCTTGCCAACTCTGGCCTGACAGCTGTCGGCCTTGCAGCCCTTTCCCAGTACCTATACTGAACCTGGAACCCTAGCAAAATACGTTCAGCTGTTTCTTAGGAATTACAGACAAGACAGATTCCTAAACCCTAAACCCATTATTTCCAAGAATGCCTAAGGTACACCAGCCGAGCCCAGCCTGGGGTCATGCCTGCCTGGCCCTTGCTCACTCTGCTCTTGGATCCCTTGGCTGCCCTTTCCTAGGAAGCCGGGATGTTGCGCGTGCTGGCTGCTGAACCTGGAATTGGAGAAGTGGTGTCCGGATGAGTGTGTGTACTTGCTGTGGCTGAAACCGATGGAGAAGTTGTCCTCAGGATGGAGGGCATTCTCTGGCAGAAAAGCCCGGCACCACGGACAACGCCTGTTGAACCTGCGCATGCATCCAGGTTCGACGACGGTAGAACCCCATCTCCTACAAGATGAACTACCAAAAGGCTCCAATGTAGGCTGAATGTAGTTCCTTGTTGAGTTACTCCATAGGGGATTCTAGTAGACTACTCCAAAAAAGGTACTACATAGGAGCCTTTGGGTAAACACCAATTCAGCTGTCGCTAGCGATACCTCAATACAGTTCTTGAGAGCATCCCGCCTGTCATCGGCGCAGCGTGGACACAAATAAATCGGATTGCCCCGAGATCTGCACCGACGATTCCGACATGAGACGTAGTACGCGGCCGCAACCTCTACGTCGGGGTGTTCATGGTTCCATGGTGTCTGGCAGAACTCAGGCTCAAGGCAGGTCGCTAAGGATGATGGTGTAACTGACGACATACAAAGTAGGGGGCCCCCTACTATACTAACTTGAGCTTTCATGCTTATAACCCAATTCAGGGCCCTTGTAGCCCTATTTTAACTCGGGGGCCCCTACATGTAGCTCGCCAGTTCACACAGAGTCTCGGGCCGGGCTGCGCTTTAGTCGATGTTCTTCCTTGCAAATTTCTTAAAACACCATACCGGACCATACCCCAGATCATCACAGCGCGAAAGGGCTAAACCCTAAACCCTAAAGCCTAAACCCTAAACCCTAAACCCAAGGGCGCCTTGCAATGGATTCACTCTCGGAGACCAGGCACTGCCAATGCTCCTCTTGCTGAGGGCGTGGGGCTAAGTGCAAAGATTTTGCGTGTGCGCAATAGCAGCAAGAGTGGCAGTGGCAGTGGCAGTGATATTATCAATGGGAACAGTAGTCATCATCGTGTTGAGGTGAGGTGGAATACCCGCAGCAGCGAACCCTGCCAACCTCCACGGTTTTTGCATGCTCTGGATACAGAGAACCACCAGAATTCAGAGTGTTTTTGAGCAATTCAACACTGCTCCGACCAAAGTCTGTGCAAGACGAGTTCTCTCAAAGCTCTCCCTAAACCCTAAACCCCAAACCCCAAACCCTAATATGTACACCGAGTCATCTCCCAGGACAAGATGCAGAACAACATAATCCTAAGATCCTGAACCTGAAACAATAACCCAAACATGGCAGTCCAAGCCCAAGCCGAGGAAAAAAAAAAAAAAAAAACAGAGTGCATGGCTGTGCGACGACAGTCAATGTAGATCTCAGACCAAAGGTTGCTGCAAATCCAGGCATCTCAGCCCACTTCCCCTAGGAAGTGATGAAAGCAGTAAACTCTCGTGGTTCTTAAGCACATGTTTGTTGTAAAAGACAACAGTCTATCAGACCCTAAACCCTAAACCCTAAGCCCTAAGCTCTAAGCCCTAAACCCTAAACCCTAAACCCTAGTCCTTGATGATCCTCTGCAAGCCGCCATCTAAAATCCACGCAGGCAGCCTGGGTGTGTCTTCCGCCGTTTTTACGCCGGTGTTGCGTTTGTTCCGAGATCTGAGGTTAACTTAGGGTTTAGGGTTTAGGGTATTTAGGGTTTAGGGTTTAGGGTTTTGGGTTCAGGGTTGCTGAGTTCATAAGCCCACAAAAGTGTACACTTTCAGTTCTATAGGGGATCATAGTATCCCAAGAAAATATCAAAAAAGTGTACACTTTCAGTTCTATAGGGGATTAAAGTATCCCCCAAAAATGTCAAGTGTGCTCAGTCGGCTACTAAGTTAATTGGGGGTTTACGATATTAGTGGTACCTTGCTGGGTCCTTATGATAAGGGAATCCTGCTATTTGCGGGTCAATATTAGGGGTCACTTATTTTCGTAAACGCCCAATTGGGGAGAAGAGGTGTGGAGTTTAATTCGGGTCTAGGAGGTTAGGGGTTAAGTGTTTAGGAGTTCCTGCGGTTCAGGAGCAAGGGTACAACAGATAGTAGCAACTACGTTGAAGAGTGCGTGCAGCATGCATGTGGTGCTCGGAAATGCAGAAACCGTGCCAGGTGGGGGGGAGCCCTAAACCCTAAACCCAAATTGAGGGTCCCTGCTTCGGGTATCCCTAGCGTTTTGCATCATATGGGGGCAGAGGGCTTGGGAAAGACGGGACAGGGAGGGGGGGTGGCCTCAAAGCGAGTTGGAGTTAGGGTGTAGGGTTTGGCCCCAAACCCTAGGCCCTAAACCCCCCCGAAAATCCAACATGCTAAACCCTATATTGCGGGCCCCGGCTGATCCTCTAGCATATTCCTCATCGATTAGGGCACCAAAAGGCGCACGGTAGTTCGATGAAACGTGTGTATATCGGTGGACTTACTAAGGTTGCGAATGTAAGTTGCTTAGGGGTGCGTGTTGAGGATTTAGGGTTGATACTAGCAAGCTAGTCTAAGGTGCAAGCCAGTGAAGAAAGAAATGCCTATGATAGAATAGAGGTTACTCGCCCTATTCATGTCTTTGCCCGGGACGTTGGTTTCTTCTCAATCCCAAAACCCCAAACCCAAAACCAGCAACCCCAAAACCCCCAACCCCAAAACCCTAAACCCCTGAACTCCAAACCCTAAAGCCCCAAAGCCCAAAACCCCAACCCCAAACCCTAAACCCTAAACCCTACACCCCAAAACCCTAAACCCCTAAACCCCAAACCCTAAATCCCAAACCCGAAACCCTAAACCTTAAACCCAAACAACGAACCCTAAGCCCTGAATCCCAAACCCCAAAACCCTAAACCTTAAACGTGAAACCACAAACCCCAAACCCTAAACCCTGAAACCCAAACCCTAAACCCCAAACCCACAAACCCTAACCCCGAACCCCAGACCCCAAACCCAAAACCCTAAATCCTAAATCCCAAAGCCCAAACCCAGTATACCCAAAAACCCTAAACCCCTAAACCCCAAACCCTAAACCCCAAACCCTGAACCCTAAACCCTAAACCCTCAAATCGCGGACCATGTGGCGGACCATACTTCCGTCGGAGGGCGCAGTTCTTGCCGTGATGGGATCGCACGACCCGCCCAGAAGCTGTGACCCAGACTTCCTGAGACCTTATGGGCCGGTGAGGGTTTTGAACTTTCAAGCCCTAAACCCTAAACCCTAAACCCTGAACCCTGAACTCTGAACCCTAAACCCCCTAAAACAGACCCTAAACCCTGAACCCTCTAAGGTTTAGTGCAGGTCCGGGGGTCGGCCGTGCGAAATCCTCGAACCGATGAAATCCGAAGGCCGCTTAACACCTTGAGGGTCTAGTGGAAGCTAGTAAGGGTTTAGGGTTTAGGGCTTAGGGTTTAGGGTTTGGGGTTTGGGGTTTGGGGTTTAGGGTTTAGGGTTTAGGAGTTTAGGGTTTAGGGTTGGGGGTTTGGAATCTGGAGTTGGTTTTGAGGGTGAGCCTTACAGCCAGAAACACGTGCACCCTCAGCCCTCGACGCGCAAATTCCTCAGCCGCGAACCATCAGACAGAGACCCGCAGCTTATTTCAGTTGGGGTCTTTCAATATTTTTGGTGAGAGGGGCAAGGAGGGGGGGGGATTCTGTGTCCCACAAGCGATGTCGAACTGTGGTGGTTCCGGGTGTACGGTTCTGGTGGTTCGGGATTCGTGGTTCAGGGTGTGGCGTTGAGGGCTTATGAAGCTTGTAGATTCCAGATGCTTAGGGTAAATGGTGCAGATGCACCCTAAACCCTAAAAGGCTTGAGGTGCTAGGGCGTTTTTGGGTTGAGGGTGTTTGACTAAGTTTGGGGTGTGCAAAGCCTTGCCCCGAGAATGCCCAAAAAGTCTTGAAAGGCCTCACATGTAGGGAGTTTGGGGTTTAGGGTTGCGGGCTTGCATGTCGGGCCCCCTAGTTGCTAGGGCCTAGGTATATAGGGTCATGGGTTATCGGTCATACTTTTGAAGTTATATTTCCGCTACAATTCGGGGTGCAGCTGCAGTCAAGGTGCGTGTGGATTGTGCCGCCAACCACGACGCCCCAAATCCTGAAATTGCAATCAGGCCCCCACCAATAGACTGCAACTAAGTCTTGCCAAGTTGGTTTAAGCCCCATTGAAAAAGACTAGTACGTGCAGTCCCTTATACATCCAAATACGGAGAGCCTTTTAATGTCCCGAAGGCCGACCTCCTGGGACAGTTAAGCCCACTTACAAACCCAAAGCAGACCCTGAACCTAACCCTAAAACCATAACCCTGTTTAGGGTTTAGGGTTTAGGGTTTAGGGTTTAGGGTTTAGGGTTTACCCTAAACCCGGGGGGGCTTATGAACTCAGCAACTAAGTTAAGGTTTAGGGTTGGGGTGCAAGCAAACAAGGTGGCCCCACAAGATTGGGGTCATAGGGTTTAGGGCTTAGGGTTTAGGGTTTAGGGCTTCACCAAAATGCCTCGTAGGGTATATGAACCATAAACCCTTTTAGGGTTCATGTGGTCCACGGAAGGTTTAACAGCAGTAAGCCCGGCTGTACAGGCAAAACAGCAGAAAGCAAAGATGAGTAAAATGCACGTGTGTGGAGACCCGAACAGTCCCAGCATTCCTGAAAACTAAAAACCCCCTAAGCCGCAATCAGAAGCCACTAGGGATCCCACAAGCACCGTTGGAACCCTGTAAGCCCCAAAACCCTTACAGCCTGCAGCCCTGTATAAACCAACAAGCACTCATGCAGAACCTATGATACAAGAACACTTTGAACTGAAACCCTGAACCCTGAACCCTAAACCCTAAACCCTAAACCCTAAACCCTAAGGGAGAGGGGGGGGGGAGGAGGGAGCACCCTGAAAGGCCTAGAACCCAACCTCCTCAGGGGCGAGTGGCGTTTGAAGCTTCAGCTCGAGGGGCCTCTCGGGCTCCTGCAGTAGTGAGGATCCTAAACCCTAAACGGGCTTTAGGGTTTGGGGATTTCGGGGGTTCGGAGATTTCAGGCCTTGCTGCTGGCGTGCAGGCTCGGGTAGAGCACCTCCACGCCAACCCCCCTTGGCACCTGCCACGGCTCCAAAGGGCCCAGAGTGGTTTAGGGCTTTGTGTTCAGAATACATATAAATATAAATATAAATATAACTATAAATATAAATATAAATATAAATGTAAATAATAGATATGTATATATATATACATACATACTATATGGTACTATTAACTTGTATTATACTATAATATACTGTATTATGACATTTTATGCTGCGTTATGGTATATAATCTTGTGTTATGTTCTGTTGTATACTAGTATGTAGTATAACATATATATATATATATATAGTATGATACGATATAAAAAATACAATATCATACAACAAATAAAAGTATAGAAGGCTCATATACACACATACATACCGCCCGGAGTAGAACCCGAATTCCTAAGCGAAGCTGCGGGAGGGCGAAGTTCTGGGGTGGGACTTTGGTTTCCTTCTCTGCCACTCTCCTGCTTTGCGGGGTAGGGTTTAGAATTTAGGGTTTAGGGTTTAGGGTTTGGGTTCAGGGTTTAGGGTTGAATAGGGTTCAGGGTTCAGGGTTCAG